AACAGTTGATGAATGTGCATTGTAAAGGCTATTGTTGCAATAAATTATAAAGTGAAAAGAAAATCATATATTTTTGTTGTTCTTCGTTACACTTTAGCTATCTTAATATAAAAAAGCTTAATCTTTTAAGGGGGGAGCCTGGTGTAGAAACTGCAAAAAATTTTTTTTTGTTTTGCTTAAATCTCTTTAAAATAATCTAAGGATATGTCCTCAAAGTTTTAAATAAGAATTTGATATATTTTCGAAGCTAGAAGGAAAATAGTGACCGAGCGTCTAGCAGATATAGGAGTGATTGGGCAGACAGCGAAAGCTTTGACGAGCGATTTCTCGGTTTTTAATTTTTACGATTTTCCTTAATTGGCGGCAGGTTGGAAAAAAAAACTGAACGTTATATGGAATTGAGGCAAAATTTATTATTTATTATTTGACATTAAATTAGTCGGAATATCAAAAATTTGGGTTCAAAAAAATTTGTGAATGATGTTTAAATATATAACTATAAACCCTAGAAGTTTTGCTTTAATCACTTATTCTTTCAAAAATCTTCAAAAAAATCGTTTTTTAAGCCTCTAAACCAAATTTGGTTAAAAATTTACAAGAGGCATGAAAGTTATTTTATTGTGATACCGGAGCAAGCGAATTGCGATAAACTTCGTAAATTTTTTAAACCAACATTAATTAAGTTGTAAGTGTGTTCTCTTTTAACGAAGTTATGGACTGACCACTATTACTTTGTAAAGAAACGGTGAGACGACTACTATCCTATTCGATGAAAGGATGTACGTGTATTTACGGAAATTCAAGGAATGCCTTTAATTAAAGTACTTATCAGCTATTACATTCTCTCTAAACTTCTTTAAAGTATTTTCATATGAACTACAAGTTTTCGAAACAATCTGAAAGCTAATGAGAAATAAGTTGGTAACAAATACTACATATTTAGATGAGATAATTTTAATATTCTAACAAGTAAGGAAGGGTGTAACCGAGCATTTTAAGCTCTTGCTACTTTCCCGCATATTCCCTAATTCCAGGCGGTGCGTAATACTTTCGCCATTCATTATTCGACGAAATCGCGAATTACTATCAAATCCCTCATATGAGGGATGTGAGTGGTTATCATTCGATTCGCCAGACGTTGTCGAAGTTATTATAATATTAACGGTGCAAATTTGGGTAATATAGCTAGAATGGGTTGGGAGACATATACATTAAACCTATTAGGAGGCGGGATCGCTGGGATTTCAACTCGAGTCGTCATCATGATCATTTATATGGGAGCTAAGGTAGTTTGATATTGATATTGCACACTGTCAGCCGTAAGCTTTGGTACAGATATTTGACTATACAACAATATGTATGTATGTATATTTAATTTTGGTATTCTTACCCAAAATAGGTCTCACAGGATGTCTCAAAATCCATATAAGAGGTATATGAAGACAAGGGGGGGGAATGGAGATCCATATTAGGCAAAAGAATACACTGTCATTCAAAAGGTATTCCTTCGGAATTTATTTGGTGTCTGTCATAAAAATAAGGATACACAAAACATTAACATAATTCAAAAATGTTTGTGGAAAAATGTGAACTTTCTTTACTTGAATAAATAGTTCAGCAAAAAAAAATTTAAACTTGTTCGGCACAATTGATTGCACATTCGTACGTATATAAAAGGTGTCCCAAAATTAAGATTTTCATTAAATAGAAAGCACAGTTTTTGTTCTTTCGATTGCAATTATTTTATTCAGTCATAAAATACAAAGGCAATAAGCACTCGTTTGTTGAAAATTACCATGACTATATTCTGCATAAATGTGGCTGTTAATGTGGTGTCATTGATGCAACGTTGGATATCCTCCTTTAACGCATGCGCGGTTATGGGTGGCGGTGCTGCTATAGATCAGTGATTTTAAATAACTCCATAAAAATTAATTTAATATCGTTAAATCACACGATCTAGGTGGCCAATTCTGTTCTCCAAACCGGTCTTGTTTACCGACGTATTGACCACATCAATATCATCCAATTTCGGCAAGCGGAACTGGGTTATACAAGTATGTTGCGATATCGAGTTACAGTCACTGCTTAACCAGCTTCATTTTCAAAATATTATATATTAT